GGAAGGAAGGAAGGAAGGAAGGAAGGAAGGAAGGAAGGAAGGAAGGAAGGAAGGAAGGAAGGAAGGAAGGAAGGGCCTTTAGGCTTGGTGCTGCATATCCCAGCGGCTCTTTAAAAGTTAGTCAGCTCAATTTTATTGAGGGGGGGTGAGAGATAGCCCAAGGCAAGGGGGAAAATTCACCACAAACCTGTGGGCCTTGCAAGATATCCCTTCTCCATCTCACCTCCCCCCTCCCCCGAGCATGCTTTTAAAAAAAACCCCGATGTATTTCTCCTACCAAAATGCATCTCAAGGGTGGATTAAAACCAAGGGAATAATACGCTTTTTCCCAGGGGCGGGGGAGGAGAAGAGACAGCCCCCTCCCCAAACAAAGGAAACAGGAGATGACTGAACACCGAATAAAAAAACAGAGGCCCAGAACCTATTGCACCTGGACAGGAGGAGACAGAGACAAGGTGTGGGATCCTGTAAAACCAGACCACAAAAAAGAAATAAAAAGAAATTAAAAAAACTGCAGAAAAGAAGGGCCAGACCAAAATCGTTGCCTGGTTCAGTTTCGCAGAGGGAGCAAGATCCCCTGCGTCCTTCCTCTGTTTGGCTCCCTACCACCCTGGGGAGGGGGAGACCCACCACCCTTGCTAGAGGAACAAAAGGGGGATACCATTTGTTGGGAGGTGGAGGGAGGGAGGGGTTGTTCAACAGGGGAAGCTCCCCTCACTTGCCACTATTACGATCCGAAGGAAGCTGGGCGTTTCAACGGGCCAGGAGGAGGAGAAGGGACGTCTCCAAAAGGCGCGCAAACTCACAAGCAGGATGAGACACACAAGTATCAAAACAGCTGGAAGTCCAGAGGCAATTTTGTTTTTAAAAAAAAAATCAAAGACAGTCACTGGCATGCCGTGTCTCTCCCCCCCCCACCCCCCCAGCTCGGCTCCGCACCGTGTGGTTTTTATTTATTTTGTCCATGACTGACCTACACCTGAATTTTTTTATTTCTATTTTTCTTTTTTTAAAACCGAGGTAGTTGGCTAGAAACCAAAACAAAAAAAGAGAGAGAAAGAAGGAGAGAGAAAGAGAGAGAGAGTTTCTCCACCTGGCATTTTTGTCCAGAAGGCCCACCTCGCTCGTCCGTCCTCACCCCGAGAGGGCAACGAGACCCCCTCACCATGCCTGGCCGACGGGAGGACGGGCCCGTCCTATTTTTTTTTTTCCGTCTTCCAAAACACACCGAGTTATTGCACTTCGAAAAAAAGAAAAAAAATACCAAAGGGGGAAAAAAAAGACAACAGATCCGTGGTTTGAGCCCTTCCCCTCATTCGGTGACACCCGTGTTCCCCCCCCTCCCCGCAACCTGGTTTCCAACTCTCCTCTTCTGCGTTTTCCACCCCACCCGCCCACCCGAAATGGCTTCTGTTCAACTTAAAAAAAAATAATAATAAACAGTTGCTCGTCGCTATGCTAGAATTCTACGATATTTTCATAAGAGGCTTAAAAAAAAAACAACGATTTCCCATCGTTTTTTCTTTTTCTTTACATGAGGTTCTCTCTGGGAAAACGGAGACCAGCTAAGACGATTCAGCGCGGAAACGTCCGTGGCGGTTTTGTCTCCCCTTCCCATCCTTCCGTCTCCCTTCCGGTTCCCACCAACCCCCGTTACCTACCATCCTGACGGGTATCAGAAAAACCTGCATCTCTCTCGCTGGGTTTTATAAACCTTTCTAGGTGACTTAAGGATGTGAAGAAGCAACACCCATCCACCCGATCCGGTGAGATGGGGTTTTTTTGGGGGGGGGGGGGAGGGGGGGAGAAAGAGAGAGAGAGAGCAAAAAGAGAGAGAGAGAGAAAGAGAGTCAGGAATGGTTGTCGAACAAGGCCGATGGAACACAAAGAAGAAGAAAAAAGAAGAAAAAGACATAAACGTGACTTTGGACACCCGTGAAAAGTCCTGGCAACTGGCCGGTAGCGGGAATCAGTTCTCACCGGCCGGGTTTAACCAGAAAGCAAAGGGGCGTTGGGGAGGAGGACAACAACAGACGCTCGGGAAGTAGAGAGAGTGTGTGTTGGTGGCCATTTCCAAAGGGCTGCGTGCAGGACAGGCGTTCCCCCCCCACCCCACCCCCTCCCGATCACGTCCAAAGGCGGTTCCAAAGCTGAGCCGAAGGCGGAGAGACGAAGAGGCGTTAGGTTGCGAGGTGATGGTGGTTGGAAGGGGGTCGCCATGCATCAGCGCTCATCCAGATGGGTCTGTTTGTTTCCGATAAAAACAAAGTTGTTTTTTTTTTTTAACTTGGAATAATCGGGACGTCCAAGGATGCTTTGGAGGAGGAGGAGAAGGTGAAAGGTTGGCTGGGGGAGATAAGATACCCCGCCCCATCCCGTTTATCTGAGTAAGCACCGAGGAATTCAAGCTTTCCCACGTGGAGGTGACCTGGGGCCGCTGGCGGTCAGCAAGCGGAGGCGAGGCCGTTCTTATACAGGCGGGGGACTTTCCTCTTGGGTCCACCATTGTCGTCTTCTTCCTCCTCCTCTTCCTCTTCTTCCGAGGATGAGCTGTCCAGTGTCAAATCGACCACGTCGGCCGGGATCTTGCCGTTCTCCACGCTGGGGGCGGGAGGGGGAGCCCCGTTGACGTCCGATGTGCCCCCTGAAAATGTGCAAGGAAAAAATTAAAGATTTAATAGCTAGACTTAACATCCGTTCACTTAATAACCGTTCAAAGTGACAACGGCACTGTCAAAAGTAACTCAGGACCATTTTTTTTTAACGTTTTAAGTCTGCAGCGACATATCCGTGGTCCCATGATCAAAATCCAGACCTTTGGCAACGGATTCGTATTTATGACGGCCGCAGTATCCCAGAGAAACTCGATTCACTTAACCTCTGGATTACTAACTTAATTACTGCGGTGACTCACTTAATAACTGGGGCGAGCAAGATCGTAAAACGGGGCAAAAATTCACTGAACAAATGTCTCACTTAGTGTCAGGTATCTTGGGCTTGTAAATCAAGGACCACCTGTGCCGATGTTTCTCAACCTTGGCTATTTTAAGAAAGGTGAGCTTCAACTCTCAGAATGCTTTGGCTGGCTAGGGAATTCTGGGAGTTGAAGTCCATCCATCAGGAAGCCATAGCTCGCTGGGGAATTGTGGGAGTTGAAGTCCATCCATCTTAAAGTGCCAAAGGCTGATTGAGAAACACTGGCTTTCATACAAGTGTAAAAAGCGATTGGTCCACTTCACATATTATTCAGCAACACACTAGCCCCACATTATAACTGACAAAACCCAGAGGGATGACGCAAGACACAACATACTGCCTGGCTTAGCATGATGTCTGATGACAGCCAACCCCATATCCTCAAATGGTTTAAATCTGATTTAAATCACTGCTCAGGCTTTCTCCCCCCGATAAAAATACGGGATAACCCTGTTGCTGTTTGTCTGTTGCTTCGACACTTCGGTAAAGGGTCCATCTCTATTTCTCCCAAAAAAGTTAAGAGAAGCAACCTGGAAGTAGGGAGAAATTTCTGGGCAGTTAGAACAATGAATCAGTGAAACGACTTGCCTCCCGAAGTTGTGAATGATCCAACACTGGAAGTTTTTAAGAAGATGTTGGATAGCCATCTGTCTGAAGTGGTGTAGGGTGACCTGCCTAAGCAAGAGGTTGGATTAGAAGACCTCCAAGGTCCCTTCCAACTCTCCTCTTCCTCTCCTCATTCTATTCTATATTCTATTCTATTCTCTATATTCTATTCTATTCTATTTTCTATTCTATTCTCTTTATTCTATTCTATATATTCCATTCTATTCTATTCTTTTCTATTCTATTCTCTATTCTATTTTCTATTCTATTTTCTTTATTCTATTCTATTCTCTTTATTCTATTCTCTTTATTCTATTCTTTTCTATTCTATTTTCTATTCTCTTTATTCTCTTCTCTTCTCTTTATTCTATTCTATTCTCTTTATTCTCTTCTCTTCTCTTTATTCTATTCTATTCTCTTTATTCTCTTCTCTTCTCTTTATTCTATTCTATTTTATTCTATACTATTTTCTTTATTCTATTCTATATATTCTATTCTATATTCTATTCTATATATTCTATTCTTTTCTATTCTATTTTCTATTCTATTCTCTTTATTCTATTCTATTCTATATATTCTATTCTTTTCTATTCTATTTTCTATTCTATTCTCTTTATTCTATTCTATTCTATATATTCTATTCTTTTCTATTCTATTTTCTATTCTATTCTCTTTATTCTATTCTATTCTCTTTATTCTATTCTTTTCTATTCTATTTT